AATTTGGGGGATGGGAGATATTTTTTCAAGGTGATGGTGGTATTATGTGGAAAAATCCCACATTGAGTATAAAAGTAAGAAGCTTGTAAGTTAAATATAAGAAAGCAACTCCACTTATAAGCAATTAGTTCTAGGTTGGATACAAACCTTATATTAAACATACATGCACAATTAGTAAGAAACTTGTGAATTAAATATAAGGAAAGTCACTTCACTTATTGCCAATTGGTTTTAGCTTAGATGCTAGCTTGGATGCAAGCTTTGTATTGAGTCCACATGCACAATTTTTACATGGTATCAGAGCCTAGGTTCTGCCCTAAGAGCTCATTGTTAGCTCACCTGATAGGTCCCGAAGTTAATACTGGGCTTGCATGTAAGAGGGCGTATTAAGCCACATTACAGGACGTTGAGTAAGAAAATCTCACATTGAGTATAAAAGTAAGAAGCTTGTGGGTTAAATATAAGGAAGGCCACTCCACCTATTGCCAATTGGTTTTAAGTTGGATGCAAGCCTTCTCTTGAACCCACATGCACAATTTTCACACACTCCACCTATTGTCAATTGGTTTTAGGTTAGATGCAAGCCTTATGTTGAGCCCACATGCACAATTTTGACATGGTATCAAAGCCCAGATTCTATCCCAGGAAGCCCATTGTTAGCCTACCTAACAAGAGCCAAAGTTGATACTGGGCTTGTATGTAAAGGGGCGTGTTTAGCCACGTGACAAGACCCGACATTCATAGTGGGCTTGCATGTGATGGGGCTTGTGTGAAAATTGTGCATGTGGGCTTAACACAAGGTTTGCATCCAATCTAAAACCAATTGGTAATAAGTCAAGTGGCCTTTCTTGTATTTAACCCACAAGCTTCTTACTTTTATACTCGATGTGAGATTTTCCCACTCAACACGCTCTCTCACATGTAGGCTCGCCATGAATGTCAAGTCATGTCATGTGGCTTACCATGCCCCCTTACATGTAGGCCCGGTATCAACTTCGGGTCCTGTCAGATAGGCTAACAATGAGTTTCCCAAGATAGAATCTGAGCTTTGTTTCCATGTGAAAATTATGCATGCGGGCTCACACAAGGCTTGCGTCCAACCTAAAACCAATTGACAATAGGTTGAGTAACCTTCCTTGTATTTAACCCACAAGCTTCTTACTTTTATATTCGATATGAGATTTACTCGAGTGAAGTTAGGTATTGTAAAACCAAACCCAAAATATGCTTATGTGACTCAAGTGCAGGATATTCTAAATGAGCCAAAAACTGTAAAATCTGCTCTTAAGCATCTAGGATGGTTAGATGCTGTGCAAGAGGAACTAGAAGCACTCCATGCTAATGACACATGGGACCTTGTCCCATATGATCTAAAGATGCATGTTATAAGATAAAAGTGGGTGTTCAAAACAAAATTAAAGGCTGATGGAACTCTTGAACAACTCAAGGCACATCTTGTTGCAAAAGGGTGTAATCAAGTTGAAGGTATTGATTTTTTTGAAATTTTTTCTCCTATTATTAAACCAGCAATTGTTAGAATTGTTTTATCTATTGCTAAAGCTAAAGGATGTGATATTAGACAATTAGATGTAAAAAATGCATTCTTACATGGTTCAAGAACCTGTGTATATGACCCAACCTCTAGGTTTTAGTGATTCCAAAATTCCTAATTATATTTTTTATTTAAAGCATGCCTCATATGGATTAAAATAGGCACCAAGAGCATGGTTTAATAGATTTAGTTTTACTAACCTTTGGTTTCTTTTGCAGTATAACTGATCCTTCTCTTTTTGTTTATCATAACACTAAAGGTACTATTATTCTTCTCTTACATGTTGATGATATAATCTTAACAGGTGAAAACTCACATTTTTTAATGAGTTTATTCAGCAATTGAGCTTAGAATTTGCTATGAAAGACATGGGCCAGCTGTATTATTTTTTGGGAGTAAAAGTACAAAATGATACTCATGGACTCTTTCTTTGTCAAACAAGATATGCTCAAAAAGTCTTAAAGCGTGCTAAAATGGGGGATTGTAAACCAATTCGAACCCCAATGGCTCCAAAGGTGAAAACCCCAGAGAATGATCAACCTTTCCATGATATTACTTTATTTTGAAGTATTGTAAGAGCTCTCCAATATCTGATCTTTACTCGTCCAGACATAACTTATAGTGTAAATTATATTTGTCAATTCATGCATCAACCTTTTTTTTTTTATCATTTTCAGCTTGTAAAACAGGTGTTATGCTATATAAAAGGTACGTTAGACTATGGTGTTCGAATTTGCTCACAATCTAATCTCGATTTGTATGGGTTTTTAGATGCTGATTGGGTTGGTTGTCCATCTACTAGGAGATCTACAATAGGTTTCTGCACCTTTCTTGGTAGTAATTACATCTCCTAAAGTGCAAAGAAGCAGCAAACAATAGCTCGATCAAGGGCAGAAGCAGAATGCCGTGCAATGGCTTCTACAACTACTGAGCTCACTTGGATATCTTATATCCTTCATGACATTGGTCTTCATCTTCCCTAGCCTATCACTTTATTCTGTGACAACATGAGTGCTCTTCATATGTCTATCAACCTTGTCTTTCACGCTCCCACCA